TTTTTCTATGATTTCTTGTCAGAAAGGTCTCAATTAATCTTTCTTCCTCTCCTGAAGGTGTTGACTTATACTGGAGTATTAAGTGCTAACAAACTTTTGTGCAACAGTTTTGACTCACTATTTGATTACTGAAAAGTGGAGAGGCTTGGGAGTTTGACATATTTATGTCTGATATAGAACTCACTCAATGTTCACCATACATTTTCCAGCTGAGGGCACTGTATAACAATGCAAAGTGGGGCATCTAGCTGATTTTCCCTCTGTACCCAGAGAGGTCAGTTATTGTGTTTTATCATTCCTTTAGCCAAGATAACGGTCTCACCTCAGATCAAGGGACCCATCATGCTTAAGAGTATCCAAACCAGACAGAGTTTCACATGTGAATGCAGACTACAGATGGAAATTTCCCTGTATCTGTAATGGAATGTGTATGCACCGTTTCCCTGGAGGAATGCACCCAGCTTACCAAATTACAGTGTATTAGGTCCAGGCTGACAAGAGCCAATGCTTGAGGACCCCAGAGTGTGTATTTGGGTGCTGCTGAGTTGGCTGTATTGCCATCAGCAGTACCCTGGAGGGCTGCAGACACACTGGGCTCAGAAACTTGACCACCAAGATGACTATAGAGGATTGAATTGATTCTGACATTCCGTTGTCAAGCACGTAATTTTGGTGCCAGGTCAGCTTCCAAGAGTAATCTGCTTACCTTCCTCATTCCCAAGGTACAATAGCCACCAGGTATCAAGCCCAAAACCTCCCTAGTTTCCATGGTTCTGTGATGTCCCATATTGTGCATTTACACAGAAGCCACTGGGGAGCTGCCTCAAAAAAATGCTTAAAGAAATTAAGATTCTCATTGAAAACTCTAGAAAGTGTGTGCCATTTTATCAAAAGGTATTTAACTGCTTTTTCTGAAGGGTCTTATATGCAAACAGTATTTCCCAAATTATTTGCAGATCATCTTCAATGCTTCCTGTTAAATGAATATAAACTCATTCATTGTTATATTCTTTTGGAACCAACTAAACATACATTACTTAAATGTGTATATCTAGGCCTTATAGCTCAGACAGCTGCCCAATGACATGGGTTTTGGCTTAGACATGCACACCAAAGCCCAACCCCAAGAGGTACCATCTGTATCTGAAAATCATTTCCTAACATGCCATCATTTTGCATAATATGTACAAGATACCTCCCCAAAATGTTTCAATTTGTGGAAAATTGCAAATGCTACAGCAAGGGGAGTTGGCTGCCTAAGAGAAAAAGTCACGAAGAACCAGGCAATATGATGTCAGCGGCAATCCATTGCTGAATGTCTGACATCAGAGCGATAAAATAACTACAGAATTATCTGTTCAACATTAGAACATGCAGAACTCAGACAGAATTTTCAGAAAATAAACACAAATATTAATCGCGTCCTGAACTGCAAATGTCCTATAGTTCGCCGAGTTTTATAAGTAAACCTATACATTTTTATTTTTCTTCTAGTGAAAAATTGAGATCGCTGAAAACATTTTCATAACTAACCACATCAGTAGTCATTTCTTCTTAAGAGCAAGTGAAATTTTCCACACACATGGAAACATATTTATAACCAAAATTCCTTTCATCAGTAAATCAATCATATTGTAGGCCAATCCTGCAATCTTCCAACCACCCTTTCAAATTCAATTGAGAGTACCCTTGCGAGATGTTCCAAGCCCCAGGCAAACTGCTGCTATTTATAAACACAAAATACAGCCAGTTTCTTCATCAAAGGAGCTAGTTTCATTAGTATTTTGAAGTTCTGATCAAATAGTAATAAATGGACTTGCATGTGTTTTCTAGTAGGAAAATGATAAGACAGTTAACTCAAGAACTCAGTCGGAGGTCTGGTTCTCCAAATGCCTGGTTCCTACTTCATTATCCAACAATAGTATTCAGACGTATAAGTCACCACTCAATATTACATATCTATTGTTTCTATCTGATCCATTGGATTGGAAAATCATTCTTAATCGTAATAATAATAATCCTTGCATTTGATATAGCGCTTTTCACATCTTCTAGACATCTCAAAGCGCTTCACAGAATATGCTGTAAAGTGAATTGACCGTCTATTTGTGGGTGAAATTGCGCACAGCAGTGTCCCACAAACAGTCGTTTTTTTTTACTCAAAAAAATTCTTTTTTGAGTAATGAGCTTTTGTTCTTAAAACAAAGCAATTAGAGAAGTGCCGCAAGTATGTCTGAATTCTTTGGTGTAGTCGTATACATTAATGAAAGAAGATTGTTTCATCCATTTATGAATATTTTCTGTAACTATGAATTGGATGTATAACAGTGTAGAGCGTAAGGCAAAGAGAATACAAGATCACAGTCAGACAAAACATCGTAAGAACACAGAAGTAGAAAAGGCATTTTAGCCCATCAAACTATTACAGACCACAAGAAACCTGCCTAAGCATGGATTCCGAAACACCTGATCTCCTGGAGCAAGTTCTCCAAAAGTAATCAAGCAAAACTCCAGAATATTTATCCATTCCCCACAACTCTGCCATTCAACCCTGCCTACTTCTCTTACAAGACACTCCCTTAACTCATTCACTCTAAGTTGCAGCGTTGTTGGAGTGGTCATTCTTCAGATGAGATGTTAAGGTAGACATTTCCTTGTTCAGGTAGACATTAAAGATCCCACGGGAGTCCTGGTGAATAATATCTCCCCCCACCACTCCCAAATCCTCCAATACTGTTTCCAAGCGGATACTATTGTAACGTTAATCAACTCAGCACCAACTGATTTTGTTGGGAGTCTGTGCCACATAGTTCGGTGCACAGATAATAAGTGCAGGTGGAAGAGAGAGGAAAGAATGGAAGAACTCTTTCTAATCTCCAGTCTTGCTTGAGATTTATTAATTTTAAACTCATGCCCTTTAGTTCTACTCTCAAGGTTCAAGTCAAATAATCTACTAACATTTGCATCATCTATGCCTGCCAGGAAAATAAATCACAGAAAGATGGTTATTTTAGTCATCATAACATGATAGACCCCTATACCCTCATGATAATGAATGAAGTTGCTTTAAAGTCCCAACTTCTAATCTTACTCCAAAACAAAAACACATTTTCAGAAGAACAGCACCTACTTTTGCCCTCCCACAAAATAATAATAATCCTTACATTTGATATAGTTGGGAGAATGTGGCCGCACAAAATCACTTGGGCGGCCTCATAGGGCCATATTTCAGAAACAATGGTCTATGCGAGTTCAAAGTCCCTATGTGGAGCTTGAACTCACAACCTTCTGACTCAGAGGCGATAGTGCTATCTACTGAGCCAGGCTGACACCTACACAATCCCAGAGCAAGCATATGAAAGAAATATCTGTAGAAAAAGGCCAATTACAAGGGTGTTGCTCAAGCTTGGCCTGGGCCTGAGGAAGTATGTTGTCTTTGCTCCTTCCTCTAGCTCACGACACTGCTCCTCTCACCCTCAAATTTCTTCCCAGGTGAAAGAATGCAAGACATAGGACTATAATGACCCAACCAACAGGAACACTCGTTAATATAGAGAGAAAACTCGAGCCCCAGTGACAAAAAATGATTTCCGCAATTCTTAAACATGCACTATGCCAAAGTAACAGGGTAAACAGCCACCACCCTTTCAGCACTGCTCAAACAAAATGTGTAAATGGCTTCACAGTACATTTTTCTGTATGTAAATCTTTGAAAAATTAACAGAGCAAATTTGGCACATTCATCTTTTGTGAGGACACATCCTGTCGAAAAATATTAAATTGTGAAGAATTGCTACATTATTGACAGAAATAATCTAAACTGGGACTTTGGTATCGTCCAGACACATGGAACTATCTGCAAACTGGCAACACATTTCCTTCTCAACTAATAAAAATGCTTTGCTAAGTTACTTCTTAAAAAAGGCTGATTTAACCTGTTTAACTTATTGATTCTCTGAGATTGACAAGAGCCAATAACCATTGATCACATGTCGAGTGGCTTCAACAATTTGGATAGAGTTCACAAGCAAAATTAAATGACTAACATTTGGGACACATTGAAACAAACCAAATGAGTCCATCTGGTGAATGATGTAAGAGCAACTGTTAAAGTAGAAATATTTTGCTCCAAAACTAAAGACAAATGCTGTGGCTGAGGATTTAATAACATGACTATGCAAAATGAGTAACTTGATCCCTTGGTAATATTCATTAAAAGCTTCAGCGTCCTCAAGGGTACTATGTATATAATTTCATCATTAGAATCCTGCCACCACTCTCTCCACTAGCACATGGAGAACATGAAAATTTAAATTAAGGAAATCTAACACTAGATCTGTAAGTAACTACCAAAAAAAGGCAGAAAACAGAATGAAAGATAGATCTTTGTAGGATTCCATGTGCCCACCTTGGCTGAATTTCTGAAGTATCTGCAATATAATCTACGAACCTTTATAAAACACTCACCTTGAAAGAAGCATGTGTTTTCTTTTCATATTAACTGTTTTACAAATACCACAATTTTATGAGAAGTTCTGTCGTATCTAAACAGGACCTCTTCTATGGATTAATCCTTTATGAGGGCAGAACTCTGCACAAGGTTGCAAAGATGCCTGCGGAATTATAGCTCACTGGTTTCTTCAATCTCTGAGCACAGAGTGAAATTCACGCACCTCAGGATTGGGCCAGGAGATGCAAATATTGTAAAACAAATTAGTTTCAAATGATAACTGTATTAGCTCAAAATAAAATTCAGGTTAAAACAATATTCAAATGGACTTTTTGCACCCTAAACTTCTTCTGTGTAGGAGGTTTTGCACAAATGTCATAGGCTGCTGAAAGGGTTAATGCGGATCTGTAAAGGGGGTGCAGCATTTCATTAAGAGGAAAAGGAGCAGATGGAGCAGTACCAAAAAAATTAGAGTTTGTGACCCTGACCCCTGTGATTACCCTCAGTCAAAGTCTGGTTCAGTGAATGTGCAGAGGAAGATGGCAATTACCTGTGTCGGTGGAGTAAACACGGAAACTCTTATCCCAGAAGCCACAGACCAGGATGAAGCGGTTATCTGCAGTGATCACGAAGCACTGGGAATTGATCTGAATGCTTTGATCCAAGAGGTCAGTGATTTGCCTTCTGTGCATGCTGGTGTTATTAGCTAAAAGTTAAAACATAACACACAAAAATAGCATTAGTATTCCACCATCATCGTCAATGGAGAAATGTACTGTATACCTAGTGTTTGGAAATTGTATATTACTGTAATTTAGACTTCTGAACAGCAGGGCCATAAAACTAAGATTTGATCTCTTTAATGATGAAATCTTGGCACCAGTTCTATATTTTTCACCACTCAATGCAATAAAGAACCCTGCTGTTATTATGAAAATTTCCTTTGCAATGGAGCGACCACATTACGAGGGCACCAATTCATCATAAGCCAGCTCATTCACGCTCATCAACAAGTCCAAGTGATGAAAAGATCCAATATTATCCTGACAGTACTTCATGCGCATTCTCAATCACACATTATTACAGCATCCATATTAATTTTCACTGACACGGGTTCTATCCCTGTACAAATTAGGCAAACCAACGAGGGGGAGTTGATGAAATACCAGCGAATCCACAGCTCATTGCATTCCAATTTGCATGCAAATGGTTTATCGAGAAAATTCCATTCCCAACCACCACCAGTGAAAAACAACAGTAATCTCCACTTCAGTGCACTATACAGGGTGTAATGAATCGCAGAAAAGAAAGCTGACAGACCTATCAGAGGATCGATTTCAACTGGCAGCTGGTATGGCTGTTCCTGCATAGTTCCATGAAGGCCTAGAATTGTTGATAAATAAAACATTGGTGTATACATGCACATTGAAAATAATAATACTTCCGTTTTACATGTTCTCTAGATCTTTAAGTACATCAGACACCTTGAGATTTCATACCATATTCTATATATTATTTGTTACATTCACTGGATCCAAAGATTTGAATATCCTTCTTTTGAATGAATCCCACATATCTGCCTATTTTTAAATTTCATGTTTTAATGCGAGCGAGATATTCTTTAGTTTTCCAAAGCAGATTTTGTTCATAAAAATCAATTTCTTATTCAGCTCAGCCTGCTGTGAAGGGACAGACCTCAGTATTTCAACCTGATTTTGTCCAGCTACCCATTACTATTGGTGTATATAGCATAATAAGCAGCAAATCCAAAATGCTACATACAGCGTGTTACGAAATAAGTTGGATCACACTTACTGTTAAGTGGAAATAAAAGTAAGCATGCTTTGTTCCTATATCATTACAAATTTAATCTAATTATAGATATTCAAATACTGGTAAACAACAATTTTATTTTAATCAACAGAAATATTGAAACACAGTCTTTTTTTCCCACATAATTAACACTCGCAGAACAATGATTCAACTCAAAAGGACTGAAGAGCAAATGCAGTTGTCACAAACATCTCTGTACTCACCAGTAATATTATGCCACTTGTTCACAGCAAACAGCCTGCTAGCGGTTACTGTAATAATGGCTGATACAGCCAGGCCTGGCTGAGTGTTGGCAGCAACATGGGTGACAGGGGAGTTGGACGGGAATTTAAGTACCATGATGACATCCTGCTGCATCTGGTCTGTGAACATCAGAGGAGTCTGCAGGAGGAGATACTGTTCAGTGGCAAAACCCCAAATCAAATACAAACCAAAAAGAAAAAAAAAGGTGGCAGGAAAAAAGAAAGAGAAAAGAGGGGGGAAATAACAAACAGAAAGAAATAGGTTAGAAGCAGAAAACAGAGCATAGGTACATCTACAAGCAAAGAGGGACAGATTAGGCCATTTTCCTCTCATTTGCAATCTGTTTTATTGCTTGAGTATTGAGTAGCTAATCCTTTGTCCTCACCAGAAAAGAGCTTTAATTGAATTGGTAAACAAGTTCTCTGTTACAAACAGAGTGCTGATCTTACTTATTGTTTTAAAATGAAAGTAAGAATCAAACTTGCATCCAAATCTCCAAGATGTACTCCAAGAGAAATGTGTACATTTACAAGTTAACTACAGTTCAACAAAGACTAGAAGAAAAGCGTTTGTGCAAATCTAGAAGCAAATAGTTAGTCCAAAGCTTTTGCATGCAAACAAAGAGATTTTAGGCATATGGATTACAGCTTCAAAGAAATCTAGTATACTTGATGCAACTGATTCTTCTCGAATTGCATCTAAAAAATTCCAACCACAAAATATCTATTGATATAATTAATTACAACCACAAAATATCTATTAATATAATTAATAATGCAAACATATCAATCACAAATTCAATTGAATGTCGTCAGAAGGCAAAATAAAGGAAGAAATCCTGCAATGCTGCTTGTACTTGGGTTGTTCAAGTAACTATTAGTTCGATTTTCGGAGCATACAAGGAGACGTAAAAACAAAAAGGTGGATAATAAGCTTCACTGACACCCTTCTGCGAGAGTGGCTAAAAGCCAATCAATATTATGAGTTAATCTCCCCAGATACTCATTCAATTAAAGGTGTCAGTAATGCCTCATCTGATGTAGCCTCAATTAAATCCAACTATCTGATCCACTGAAAACACTGGGGATTGGGCAGTAGACAAATCGGCAGTGTGCGTGTGCCTGCTAATTACTACACCTGGCATAAATTACCACTGATACACTTGGCACAGCACGACATAACCTTATTTTCTAAAGTCTGTGGCTCATTTCGAAGGCTAATTTGCCTGGTGAAACACAATGAATTTTTATTAGGTGCCTTGAAGAAAAAAGAAACCCGTTCGTCAAAGACATTTCAGTGTGGACGGAGCCCTCGGTTCTTGACTTGAATAGAACCACCATTCAGGAATTCATTTACAACCCTTTTTCTTTCACTGTTGCCCCGCAGAGGAAACAGGCAGTTTTTTTGTCACCAGGTGCTCTCTTGCTGCTTGTTATTAAATGTGCACCAGTTAAGTTGCTCCTTGAATTTTCTTTCCTGCTTCACATAGTCCAACTAAGATTGAGAATTTATAAAACAAGCTGTCACTGCCCTATGGTACAGATTATACTACTACACCTTACTATCCAGCTATGTATTCCTACTAAAGAGCATTGAACAATAGGTAGGAATTATTCAGGGCAAAATAGTTAATATTGCTGTTAAACTGCCTCAGTAAATGTTTTTTTTAAACTCATGTCTATTGTACCACATTATACAAGGGGAGGGCCAACATGTCCCATCACTGTACCTGATCCTGACAAGAGATCAAGTCTCTGAGTGCTCTTCTAACCATATCAAACTGCCCGTAAAAATGATAAATATTTGGAATATTCAGTGAAATACTGTAAATGAAAATTTAAATTTACAACAAAGCTAATATACTGTTTTCTACCAATTCCCCCCTTTCCCTTCCTCTTGAGAAGGTGTTGGGTATTCCCAGAATGACTTCCCAATATTTCATTGCCTATTCTTAATATGTGAACCTGAGGGGAATGGCAAGTGTTGGCAGGCTATTTGATTGTGAAAGCCAGCATATCCTGATCCTCTCCTTATTTCACATTCACACTCACTCTTCCAGCATGTAGTGGTCACTAGATCCCTAGCAGGAATGGGAATCCCAGCCAATTTTGTTCTTTCCTTGCCTGGGGACACCAGGGCCAAATACAACAACTGTGTAGTGATTGACTATCTGTGCACATCTCAAGTATTGAACCTGGGCCACACTGATCTGTGTAGGTTAGCGTTACCCCACACAGCAGCCAGGGGCTGCCATACTAACGAGATGCACTGTACAGCTCAAAGAAATCGCAGAAAAGGCAGAGATTTCCATCAGCTCTCCCAGTTATTAAATGCATTCAGCACCTGGACAATTTAACACTACTATGATGGCAGAATGCATTCCATTTGTGAAATGCATTACGATAAAGCACATGCAACGGAACAAATGTCATAGAAAGACAGAAATTTGCATGGATTGACACCATAATGTAGGCATCACCAGTAAGCCTTAACCCCGAGCATAATACCGGTATCATCAATGACCTCAGCATGAATATAACTGGATGTTTCTTTCACGTCCATTAATTCATTGAAGCAATATCAAACTGCACATAGGAACAGCTGGTTTAAAAACTGGGCGATGTACTTACCACTTGCATGGCAGAGCTTCTGGGTGGATGTGGCTCGATTAAGAGTTGGGAAGGAGTCTGACCAAAGCTTCGAATCTGGGATTCCACGGCCTGAAAGAGACACACATTTGCTAGAACTGCTAATCACAAGTATTTGAAACATAAGCATCACCTGGAAATGTCAGCAACATGGTCTGGATTTTATCATATTTAAAATCAAGCCCGTGTGTTCACTATAACTAGGATCTTGGCACTCACACCTAGGATTAGCTCATCTCCAACTATACACGTTATTTCCACAAAACACTCTTATCCCCTTTGATATGAAACAGAGACCAGCAGTTACAGGCACAATTTTGACCCTTGCCTTTGTTTTGTCTCTAGAATTGCACTACCTTCTGGTTTTGCGTTCCTCAGTAAATAAAAGCAGAACTAAAGTTGAACATATATTAGCTTTTTCTATGCCAAGACAGCTCATTACAAAATAACTGAGTGGGAAACTGTAAAGTATAGAATGGTTTATCGCTATTGACTTTCTTATTTAACCATCTGCACAAATAAAGGAATTTCAGTACTTTTGCATTCTGTCCAATTTCTGCATCGATTCACAATACTCTTGTAGAATGATGGAAATTACAAACTTGACATTCATTTTCAGAAATATTTGTTAACCGAATCGGTACTGAAAAGGCTTTGAATTTTTAAACTGCGCACACCTTTCTTCTGAAATGCCAGCAGCAAAAATAATTTTCCTTTACATTTTCAAGGAGGAATGTTATAAAAGTAGAATTATGCCCCATTTATACTGCTGGAAGTGATTTGAAATTGCTTCCAGCAGTAAAGTGATTAGGAGCGGGAAGCAGCATTTATATTTCATCACTCTAAAATTGCATCCATCGGGAGCTCAAAAGGCCTGTGTACACAGAAGTCCACTAAACAGCGATGAATGCTGGTCACTTTAATTATTAAAGAGTCAGTTGTCCAACATGCTCTTTAAATGGCATTGAAAAAAGTCCTTTACAAACTTTTAAGCGATCAATGGTGAGTGGAGACCAAATTCGCACCACTTGTATTAATGTTGCAGCGGTGCAAATCGATTTCCTGGTAACACCACCTCCTCAAGATGCTTTCTACAGCCAGTCTCCAATGCATATTCACTTTGTAATCACGCATTGCAAACTGGATTTACACCGTGTCTTTCATGTTGATTTGATGTCATTTCGATGTCAAATCTCTGCCAAAAGTATAAATAGGGCAATAAGGAGAGATGCACAGAACTCATTAAAAAATCACTGTAAATTCTAATAGTATTGGATTTTTAGTTTGAGGTAGAAATTCTATAGCAAATCTTAAAGGATTAATCTTAAAATCCACATTTACCTCCTGCTCCCTTATACATCCGGTAACTTTGTGTTTTCTCAGAATCCACTTCATTAAGCAATTGAAAGGGACAGAACAAAATGAGAAAGATGAGGGTCATGTGATGAGAGACAGAGACTTGTTCAATGAAAGTTCAAAATGAAAATTTCTCCCTTCTTTCGTTAGTTACAGAAACTAACCATAGATGGAGAAACAAATGACAAAGAAACCATCTGTCAGCAATCTAGTCCAGCTCTTATTCACTCTCTCCCACAGCTCTGTTTCCAGACTTCAAAAATATTAGCCCAAAATAGACTTTTCCTGACCAATTTAATGGCAATACTGTACGAGAAATAAATCCTATCTCTAGGAAATGATCGCTTGCACCCAAATATGGTGTATTTTACTTATCTAAAATGCAATAATCAGTAACTAAATATAAGTTGAATACCCCTTTACAGCAGCAAATCACCACGTTGGACTGAATGTTGGACTTTCTCATGCAGGTTGGAATTAACTGCTGAAAAACTGACCAAGAGAACAATGCTGACCAAATGTTATGTGTATTGCTGGGATATCTGCTCAGTAATCTTTAGATTGTTAAAACAGATGATGTTGTTCTGTTTCTATTATATACATTTGAAGCCAGAAAATAATAGGGTTTAAAGTCTAGGGTATGCAATGGGATTCCTTATTAAAGAATCCCCTTAGGAATGACCAGCTCACAGAACCTGCTACGGAAGCAGAATGCATCAGAACAGAGTTCCCACATGCCATCATGTTTTGCTCCAGGTTACTGGAAGAATTCCCCATTTGTGTGACTTAGATCTTTAGAAGGAACACCATTAGAAATGATGCATTTTAGATTGATCCCCACCCCGCCATATAAACGAAGCAAGTTTGTCCATTGACCACTCACTTTTACAAATTGCCTAAAGAGAATCTATTCCTAAACATCATATTTGGGAGGCTAGGATACCCAATATTGCACTGTACAACGCAATAGAAAGATAACTTTTCAAGATAACTTTACCAGCAGGAGCCATCTGGAAAAAATAAATTCTGGCAGAGAAGTTATAGTTGATAAGATCCTATAAAATTAGGCGGATTTCCAGCATCTCAACGTTTAATTTTAGAGTCAGAGGAAAATTAGAAATGTACAGACCTCGAAAAGACTAGAAAACAAACCCTGCTAGCAATGCAAAGGAATCTATTTAAATTAAGTGGCATTTTAAATCTCTCACCACATTATTTTGTGTTTGTAAAATTGGTATCAAGAGGAATCCAATGATTAACATTATAGCACTGATATGTAATCTGATGCTGTGCAACAACAACAACAACAAAAGTACATTTATAGAGTGCCTTTCACCTCGGGAGGACAGAAGATGCCAATGTTGGCTCCACATTTTGCTAAACAAGAAACAAAAGGATTCAGGAAAGATTTTGTAAATGTTTCTGTAAAAAGTGGCACTAATGAGTTTCTATAGTGAATCAGACTTCATTCTCTAAAGATGGGACCATAATAACAATTAATTTCAGGCAAAAATTCACTAAAAAACACATACACATATCCTAATTGGCATGAATTCAATCTTGTCACCTCTTACAATTGTTTTTAATAATAATCCCTGCAATTGATGTAGCACCTTTTCACATCATTGACATGTCTCCAAGTGCTTCACAGGATACACTGTAAAGTTTCCCTACAAAGTCAGTCACTACAGTTAACAGTGAATCCTGTGAAGTGCTTTGAGATGTTTTGATGATGTGATCAAATGCCGCATCAAATGCAAGGATTATTATTATTAGTTAGTCAGTTAGTCAGTAAGTAAGTAAGTAAGTAAGTAAAGGCATTGCTGATCTCAGCCAGGGAGGCAGTTGCTATTCTATAACTAGTCTCAGAATCCCTTGGTTAAGAAGGGAAAAATAAGCTGAGGTTTCCACTCTTTGTTGTGATATAAGAAGATGCATGTGTGTGGTCATCTGAGGACTGAAATTTCTCATGGTCTTAGCTGAAGATCATTGCCTTAAAATGTAAGATTGTGCAGAGTTTCGGATAATTCTTAAACTCTGTTTTAATTTCAAAACCTCTTCCATAGATGTTTTTTTTGGAAAAGTACTTGGAAATCAAAGTTGGGTGAAGCACTTTAAGATGGCCTTGCAAACATGAAAGGTGTTATCACATACTTGTAAATTGTTGTTACGTTGTGGGAAGTCAATTTACAAATTACGTCTAAATTTAAAAGAATTCTACATAATCTTAAATTTTAACATCTCGAAAGCTAATATCAAGAGAAACTTCAGGCTTGTGTGTGTTGGGCTCATGTCAAACTGATCTGTAAACACTCATAGCTGAAGTTTGCACGTGGATGACCACTCGGCCAAGGTGCCTAGAGTCAAAACGCTTTCAGGAAAAAAACTGAAAGAGAGATATTGATGCAGAAACTCCAAAATGTGTTAGATCCTTTATCTGAGGAGATGGTTAGATTTTAATACAGTATATTGCTACTTCTGCAGGGCTGGTCTGAAACTGTCCAACATCTACAGGAAATCACTGACTGGCTAACTATGGCTGGTAAAGGAGTCGTTTGTGCTGCAATACAGGCCTTCAGTGTAGTTTAAGAGCACGAGCTGCTCTAAACAAAAAGGATACGGTACAAGAAACACTGTGGAAAATTCTTTCCTCCCTCGTGCTGCCAAACTGACAGGCAGTTCTAATAGAACCCACCTTACTTCAGAAACATGGTATAACCCAGACCTCATGTCTGGAGGTCATCCCCTTCACCATGCTGTCTGGACTAGGTACGGTAGTAAACAAATTAAAGACCTCTTTAATGGCCAACAGTTCTGCTCTCTCCAGGGGTTTGGTGAGAGGGTCCAGCATTCCACCGCTCACTTTCTAACATATTCAGTGTTTCTTTGAAAGAAAATAGGTTTTGGGAAAAAATAAGTGCTCTCTGCCAAAAACAACTTCAGTGCAGACATTCTAGGAAGAAAATTGGGGAAAACAGTATTTTGTTACAAGATATCACACTTAGAGAAGACAGCTAAATTATTTTGAATACCTAAAACTGTTTTGAGCATGAGACTGTATATCTAGACAGGGAGCTGAAACTCATGGAAGAATGATGGAATATATCCAGTTTAAAGCAATAATACAGATTACCCGTGTGGAAGCTTCACCCGAAAAACACAGTCAATGCATTTTAACGTATAGTCTGTGAAGCATTTTGGGATGTCCTCCTGACATGAAAGGCCCTATACTAAATGTAATGTCTATTATTATGAATAATAATAAATATTGGTAGGTAAATTAGGCAAATCCCGGAGGCTGGAAGAAAATGCATCATTTCATCACATCCTCATTTCCAAAAATTCCAGAACAAAATATAGTCAATTCACTTTACAGTAACCTGTGAAGTGCTTTGAGGCATCTCAAAGACGTGATCAAGTGCTATATCAAAATGCAAGGATTGCTATTATTATTATGAATAATCATATTGATCCAAAGATGTGAAAAATATGAAAACAAAATGTGTTCTTAGAGCTTTCACTCTTGCGAAAAAAAATCTATTGCACAGCTGGAGCCCAAATACTGTTGGGAGGAATCTTGTTTATAAAACTAATAAAACAGAATTGTTGGCCTGTAAGGAGACAAACCAACAGAATCCAGGGGTTTTGTTTTAAGATGCTGCAGATTTCCCTTCTAATATGTTCCTTGGCACCCCCAGAATAAATGTTATATGTGT